AGGAATGCTCTAATTTAAATCAGACATCTACAACTAAGTAAAGATTATGTCCAATTTTTACTTAATTTTTCTTACAACTGGCATCCATACCGTGACTTGGGAGATGACAAACAGTGCGGCCCAGCAGTGGATCTCAATCACTAGCGTGTACACCTTGTGCATAAAGACTTCCTCCCCCTGTGGGCTTTGACCACCTGTGAGTCCATCTTTGCATTCTGGCAGCCCATCTTTTCTAGGGGTTCTGTCAATCTTTGGAGGTTCATCTAGCCAGACGGGGTCTTCGTCAGGCCTCAGGAAGATGGAGTCCTCTGTATGGGAACGGGTGGAGCTGCTCAGCCGGCAGGTCATGATCCCCCTGTTAAATGAGGTTCCCTTGTGTTAAAGGTATTTGACATCTTCCTTCTGTGATCACAAGGCTTTCACAGTTGATTGTAATTCTGTTATTTGAAGTTATTGTGTATTTGCCTTTCTGAAATTCTAACAAAAGTGTCAATGAGGAATGAGCTTCCAAAGTTCCCCAAAAAACAATGTTTAAATAAACAAAATTTTATTTTGTTGTTGCATTCATGAGCCAATGGGGCTAGTGTGGTGTTAGACTATAAGATTCCCTGTGTGAACAACATTTAACATGCATATATACTTTACAAAATCAATGGTTTTCTGTTCATATGGCTTTTATAATGTTTTTTTAAATTAGTGTATATATGACAAAAAGAGTTGCATTTATTTCACAGGTTTATTCAAATGTATAGCTAAGCAACTTGGAGCGGCTCTCATCTGAATCCTCTTGTCTCCCTTAGACTGGACTACATTGTGTGTCTGTGCGTATGTGTGCCTTTGTATTACTTACATTATGGAGACCGAACCTGTTAACACACTCACATTTTGGGGACTCGGCTATCCTTGTGAGGAGTCTGGTCCCCACAAGGAAATCACTGAATTTTAGGGTGGCAACATGGTTTACGGTTAGGTGTTAGGATTAGGCAAGTAGTGGTTATGGTTACGGTTAGGATAAGTCTACAGGAAATGAATGTAAGTCAATGTAAAGTCCCTGCAAGGAATGAAAACACAACGTGTGTGTGTGTGTGTGTGTGTGTGTGTGTGTGTGTGTGTGTGTGTGTGTGTGTGTGTGTGACACACACAGAGAGAGAGAGAGAGAGAGAGAAAGGCTCCATTGTGCAAGGATGAGTCAGGGGTAGCGTGTTTACAGCCCTGTCCGTTGCCTTGGCAACAGAGTGGCTCTCATCCCTCTCATCCGTCCTGAGCATTATCATCCACTGACAAAACACACACACACACACACACACACACAGCCTCTCTGTATCAGCCAGCAGTATATTCAAAGCCCTTTTCCACCCTGCTCTTTTGTCCTTCAACCATTAATAAAGGTGTTTTGTACATTTGGCTGATTACCGCCACGTGGCTGGTGCGGATGTGTGAATGCGTGGGCTTGTGAGAGTGGTGGTGTAGACTACTGTTTGCGCACATATCACTTTGTCCGTATGTGTTGCTAATGTCTAAATTTGTCAGGAGTGAGTCTGGAACAAGTTTTCATCAATGACTTACAAACCAACATTGCACACGAAAAATAATTGCCCAGTTGGCTTACTGGAATGTGCAAAACACTATACAGCCAGTCGCATGACTCACCAATGATAGATGACAGGGAACTGGGGAGGGAGTCAGATCACATGATCAAGTTAAATCCTGTATCCTGTGACAACCAGCCGTTTCCAGCCATTGTGCAGCAGAGTCAAATCTGAAGGACAGAAGGCAAACATTACATCTCCCGTTTTGACATTTCAAAATAAAGAAAAGAGACATACGCAGGTTACAGGTCATTTGAACACATTCACAGTTGTGCCCCAAATTACTACATGTACACTACAGGGACCTTGTGACTCAAATTCAACTGGTCATACTGAGACTGGGTTAGTAATCAAGCGTCATCTAAAGATGGATCAGAGTAGCACCCTTGTCAGCTCCCAGCTGTGCTTTCATGAGCGGAGGATGGTGATGTAAGGTGACACAGTAAACTGTCAATATTTCTTCCCCTCTCTTTCTTTCTTTGCCTCTCTCTCCCTCCAGACTAACTAAACACCCTCTGAAATACATTCAGGCTGCTCCAGCCAACTCAGTATGCATGAAGCCTTCTCTGCTCTCCTCTCCTGTCTCTCATCTTCCCTCCTCTCCTTCTGTGCCACTGCACCCTGTTGAATGAACTGGGCGAGCTCAGTGGAATATGAGACCACACCAGTAGTGTGGGTGTGTGAGTGCAGGTGTTGAGCACAGGGGAGCTGCTTTGAGTCCTTCTCTGTCTCTCTCCCATTGCTGCGAAGGTGGTTTTGAAGTGATGACGCCAGTTAGCCCAGTCCGTAGCCATGGCAACGTGCATACATACAATGTACACACACATTTACAAACACACACACATAAAGTTGTATAAGAGAAACTGAGAAAGTTCAGTGTGTTTGTTTTTTCAACAATAGATGGACAGGTAGATGAGTGGACAGGAGGATGAACTGGAGAAAAAACAGCTCTTTTTTTCATGTGAAGGGTTTTACAGCAGTGACGCAGTGAGGCTGGCGTTTTGGTAACTGTGGCAACCAGCATATTGTAGCATGCACACAGACACACACACATTGTGGAAGGCACACTGCATGAAAAATGAAAAGCACAAACATACTCTAGCTCTGCACTGGGAGAGCGGGTGACAATATTCACTTTTTTCCACAAAAAATTGCACCTCTCTTTGCCTTTCTTCTTTGACGCAAATATTTTTGTTTTCCGATCACTCGCTTTGGTGGCTGAGTGCTTGTTTGGTGACTTGCCTGGTACATTTAACCAGGGCTGTAGTTAGTGTAGGATCATACATTTTTTGACCAGACTCCAAGAATAAGAACATACGAAATTCCTTAAAAATTAGTGTTAACCATTCAATAATATTGTCTGCATTTTATGTCCAAACATGTCGTGTCCAAGCCTTTTCCTACTGCAAGGAATTCTGTTATTTATAGGCCAAAAGTTAGCGGAATTTATATGTAGTAGTATATATAGAATGTAACATCCCCCCAGTTTCTTAAAACCTCCAAAACTGTCATAAATAATACAGAGAACATAAGCTCAGTGTCCTGTAAATACAGCCCTACATTTAACAAACAGCAGGAACATCATGTATTCAATTAAAACAGCTAGCTCTTTGTCACTTAAGCATCGTGATTATTCAAACCCACAGAACTGTACTTCAAAGTTTAGATGACAGCCTAGAGTATCTAAGAACACCAAACATATCTGCAGATGTGGGAACAGTTTGTATAAAATGATGTACAAGTGACTGAATAGAACAGACATCTAGAATGTTTTCACTGAGTGAAATGGTGTTCTGTGAAAAACAGAGTCTTGGTTTGAATGTTTTACTTGATTTTAACATCAAGTACAACATTTGGAATAATGATAAGGTGGAACAGCGATACAGGATAGACAGGAAATGAAGCAAAGTTTTACCAGTCTCACACACAGCGCAAAAACAAAAGAGAACATCTGTTTGTTAAGAGGTTAGAGTTATTCAAATAATTACAAAAAGCTGCAGTCCAAAACTGAATATTGTAATACAGAGATATTGTTAAAAATAATAGGAAAAAAACACCTTTCGTTGTCCAATAACTGTCAATGAACTCCAGATTTGCAATAACATCTCTATTTCAGTGTAGTGTTTTCTGAAAAATATATAACCAGGCCAAACCGGTTCATAGCAAATAAGTCAGACCTGACAGCTGATTCATCTGATTCATTCCTCACTGAAGGTCCACTGTCTTTAGGTCCTTACAAACACCACCCCCTCAGTCTTCAAATAGAGTATGTGCGTAGTGTTTCCATTGATCTGCATCCATTCACGGCACCCAACATCCAGCAGAGTCCAACCTGAGCCATTCAACAAAAGCCCATGGCCTGAGGAACACACTGGACTAGGAACAAGTGTTACCTGAACCAGCTGAGTAAAGCTCCTTCCTACCGGAACAAGCAGAATTAACGTGGTGTCATTTCCCCCCCCCTCTCCTTTTGGCTACAGCTGGCTCATGGGTTAATGGCCACTCCTGATGCCAGCCATGTGTCCATCTGGAAAAATAATGTCCAGATCTATTATACCTTTCTACTGTAGTTTTTAAAAATGTTCAGCCTTTGTTTTGCTTTGTCTGAGGCATCCTCATCTTTACAGCTGAATCTCAGTTGAAGCATTTCTTGTTTCCAGGTGAATCAAAGAGCGTGATGAGTGAGTTATCAAGCGCGTTGTTGAAGAGCTCATGTGGCAGGGAGACAAAGTAAGAGGAAGCTCTTACTGAAAGTGATGATGGGATGGTAACATGAGATAAAGAGCCAAGACCTGCTTCAGCAACCTTTCTCTCACACGCACACACCCCCACACAAATAAAATCTTTATATTAATACACATAAAAGCTCGCAATAACCTTAGAATTAAATACCTAGCAAGTCTCCAGCTTCTCTCTGTATATCACACAGACAGATAATCAATCAGCTCTATTGTTTACATACACTCCTACAATCTTTCACAGCAGCTCCAGGGATGTTTCAAAGAGAAATCACATTAACACTATTATAAACTTACAGTTCAGCCTAAGCTATACTATATGAATAATTGAAATGTGCTGCATTGTGAATTGATTTACAGGCTGCTGGAGATATATCTGGATTCTCGGTGACAAAGGATTGTGTTAAAAAGATTGTTCTGCATCGCAACACCAGTGCAGGAATGGCATTCTCTGGCAGTCATTCATGCTAAGACAAAACACCATTCATATCATGTACATGGCTACGGTGAGCTAGAGCGACCACACAGTGCAGAGCTGGATGGATTAGTAATGAATCACCCAGGGAGGTGGACTGTTGGATCTTTCTCTGGTAACTCCCACGTTGTCACATAGACATGATACAAGACAGAGGAAATCAAGCTTTGAATAATAATAGACAAAGGAGGAAATGCACAGTTAATAACAGCATCGAAAAACCAACCTGTTGGTAGATGATTAGTTTCAATAATCTAACACATTCACAGAGAAGTGGAATGACACATCCCTACCTTTTTACAGCCAGTGAAGCACAGCAGCCATATGAACCATGGGGGCTATACTGAGGAATTGGTATTCACCTCATGTCGCACAGCCATGGAGGGGGAAAGAGGGAGAGACAGAAGGAGGAGAGGAGGGCTGGAACAGTCACTCACCCAGAGCCTTAAGTCTGGTTAGGATAAGTCCTCTTACCTGACTGAGCTCGCCTTCACATCGCCATCTGCCACTCTGCTCCCTCTGAGCCAAAGACCAGGAGCCAAACACCAAGAACCAACCCCTTTATTACTCCTCTGTTTGGGAGAAGAAGGAGTGTTGTTTCAAGGAAGGAGACACACCGACAGTAAAAAACAGAGAGAGGCGAAGGGTGTGTGCGAGCTTAGGAAAGGCAGAATCTTTATCTGTGTGTGTCTATGCGTGGAAGAGCGAGAGAAATATAAAAGTCTGATGGGTTTCTTTTGTTTGTATCCTGGAGGAGAGAGAGATCCACAGGCAGCAGCTTCGTCTAGGTATATGCAGCAAGAGGCTGTATGGTAGCCTTGGCAACAGAGCCAGAATGAGGGAGAGCAAGGGAGCAGGAGAGCAAAAGAGGGAGAGAGAGGGAGAGAGAGTCTGTCTCTCTCCCTTTATGTGTATGTGTGTGTGCGTGTATTAATCATATTCTGGGAGCATAAATCTGTTCATACTGTCACATTACAGGGACATGGCTCCACAAGGTTGTTCTCACTATATAAATCATTAAGTTTTAAAAGATAAGATGATATTTTTGTATTATTGTCAACAAACTGTATAAAACTGTCAAAGCTGATAACTAATCTATTACAAGGTGCCACAGCCTGTTAACTGCTGTCCTAACTATAATATAAACTATTAAAAACATATCAGCACTTGTTGACAAATTCCTTTATTACAACGAACACAAGAACTGAGTCAGGGCCACATACAGCATTCTGCTGCTGTAAATACTCACAAGAGCACTGAATGTGTATTAATCCACAGCAGAAAATAGTCCCCATCAAATGTATTATTTACTCCTGTTGGAGTAATGTTTCTTAACATGTACAGTGCTTAGGTGTTCTACAAAATTATTTGCCTTAAAAAAAGAAGAAGAAGAAACTATTTTTAAAGTTTCATGTCTTCAGAAGGAACCTGTATGTTTGGATTTGAGTGTCACAGGCAGATCGGGGGAAATAGAAAGTACCAAAAAATGAGCTAACACATTGTTGGTCTTCTCATTTGCTGTCACAAAGAAAAATAGAGAAAAGCAAATCAAATCAGTGTCCTCGTAAATGACAAAAACACAATTCTGTGTGTATGTAATGGGGGGAGTCAGATCATAACACATCACTGAGCAGTGAACACCCCCCACTGTCACCTCCTCTGCTTCCAAGCTGTAGGCTGTGCCACCCACTGCCCTCAACTCGCCCTGTTACAAACTCATCTCGATCACTTCCTCCCACCCACGTGACACATTATCACCCAGGTCTAAACTCGTTTTCTGGTCTCCATCATTTTTGTCATCCTCCTATTCCTGCCCCACACCTCTCTCTTTCTTTCTCTCTCTCTCCTTACAACCTCCTGTCATTTATTGTCTCCCGCCCCTTTAGTGTGCTGTGCTCTCTTTCTCCCTCCTTCCTGGCTTGCCATATGGTAGCCTTTCCCTGTCAGCTACATCAGTTTTTTTCTTTTTTCAATTTCACATTTACTTTATTACCTTGACAATGCAGCATTGCCAAAGCATGTTATTTATATAAGGTTTACAGGGTATGTATAATAATTCTGTATGCATAAAAACTGGCTACAAATGGTATGTGCATTACTGCACTATAGTATGCTACAATGAGTGAAACAAATCTTTGTAAACAAGTAATTTAAGCCTGAAATAACAGACCTCTGGGCCACCTGGGGCAGCAGCAACAAACTGTTAACACAACACAGACATCATTTTCAATTAATATGGCAAACCAGCAGGCACAGACGACTATTCCTGTATCACTCATTTGGCATAATACTTCTGTTTACCTGATGAATTTAATTTTAGTATTAACCTACCTTTCAGCTCCGTTTTTGGTCTCCGCCACCTCTGTTTGGAGGAAACATCAGGATCTGTAGTTTATGATAGTTGCTTTTTTTGGTGCTGAGCTAGTGGTGTTTAATGGTTTTCTTTTTTCCCCTCCTGTTCCCACATGCCAAAATTAGGCTAATGAAAGTGGCAAGAGTTAACTACTATAAAGGCTGGAAAACCAAAACAATGACCTGAAAGATGCTAAAACACCTTGGCAGACCTGAGGGAAGCTGCAAAGATCTGTCAGAACTGCAAAGAATGTTGTGTTTTTCAAAAACAAATCTGTGTTTTGTATTATCTGACTACAACTAAACCATAAAGAAAACATATTTAACTTGCAGCTTTTAGACCATTTGACCGACTTGAACACTGGTCTACAAAAAAGGCCTTCTGTCATGCTTGCCAGTTTTGTAATATCTGACTTGTGCAATCTTCAGGAGTGGTTGTATAAAATTTTAACAGGGTGGCACATTTTAAATAAATGTAAAAGGTAAATTAAACTCCTAGGTCAGTGACATAATAAACCATATATTATTAAAAAACAAATTGTTTATTTTGTTTTAAAAATGAGACACACATAGTGGTTTCTTTAAATATCTATTGCCTCCCCCACACTGAGGCAAATCATGCCAAGTAATCCATAACAACACATTCAGAGAATTGAAAGCAAATATTACTCTGCATGCATGACATAAAATAAAATGAATTTGACCTATGTCAACTATAAAACACCAGAAAAATGTTAGCTATATTTAAGGCAACAATTTGTCATTGTTTTTCATTTTCATTCATTAATACTCACAAGCAACACATTCTGACTGAGGCAGGGGGTGGACCAGGGGTGGCCACCCCCTGCCTCTGCCCAGGACAGTCTTAACAAGTAAAACATTCTTTAACTTGTACATTTTTAGACAGTGTGAACAGCTTGAACAATGGTCTAAGCAATGGGCCTATTTTTTTTACTTGTCAGAGCAGAATCTCTTGTTTAAATGACATGACCTGACTCTCAAAGTTCTTATCAACAGGTGTTTTTGTTTGGCACTGAAAATGTCCTTGCCACTGCTGAACACTTTTTCACATGTAGCAAGTAAGTTTTTCTGTATAGTTAAAGTAGTTAACCACACAAAAATGGCAAAGAAAACAATGTAACTACTGTACTTGAATCATTATGCAAATATGAACGTACTTAAGCTACCAGCAAGCTACTGCATAATATAGTTAAACTACTAGTTTAGTGGAGTGTCGTTCACTACTCCACAACACCACATAGGTGACGAGCATCAACGATCTTTTCATTTAACTCTGCCAAAGAAAGCAAATATGGAAAATTCCTAAAATGTCAAACTTAGCTTCTATTATCATTTTGATCTAACAGGTCTTCTTCAGGTAAATACCCACAAACTAACGCTAAGGTTTTGTTCATGTGCACCATATACTGTATCTCTCCCACACATCCTCGCCTTCCCCCTCCTCAAATCAACTAAATGAGCTCATCTGTCCTTCTTTATCTTGTTCTCCTCATTCCCTTTTAAAATGATCTCACCTCTACTCACAAACACACACAAGGTCACTGTCACACAATGTAAACCATGAAAAGCATCCTCTAACCAAATTAACGATACATGAAAATAGGTTGCTATCTGGTGGCCTTGAACTTTCTGCTTCTCTAACAACTACACTGAAACATCAAACTGTTGCATCACTTCCTCATTTTCTTTTGCTGCAATGCACATCTGCTCTGCATGTTTCCAAAGCTATTTTAGTATAATGCAATATTTGAATTTGGAAAGTTCATTTAGTATAGGAAGGCAAATAAATACCCTTTACTCCTGGAGAAACTAACCTATAAAGGTTAAGTGCATATAGAATTGCAACAGTATCAAATTCACTAGAATTGTAATTTGTGAAAAATAAAATAATAATAATAATAAAACAGAAAAAACAATGTGAGTGAATGTGAATGTGATGGTGCAAGAGCAGCATTCCTCAGGTAACAATGGAGGCATCTAGTGGTCCTAAAGGCTCACTGCTGATTTCTTCATGAATGACTAGTAGCCAGCTGAGTCTGTTTCATCAATACACACTACTGTTTATGTTTAGCCAAGTGATATTCAGTGTGGTGGGTTTTAACCAGTTAATTAGGATTAAAGCCTCCCTGTCTGTTATCAAATGTATGCCAATCTCAGATTTGCCTGTGACTCATCATGTCACATCCAGATGAAGACAACAGCTTCCAGCCTGCCTGTCTGGAGCCACAAAACACATTGTAACACAGACAAGCACGCTAATCTTGCTGCACATTTGCATCACAGGGAATCAGGGAGCTGTAAAGTGTCCATCTGATGGCTGCAGGCTGTCAAGTTTGCTTGGCCGCTCTGGCCTCCCTCACCTTTCCTACTGTCTCTTGCCCATTTACACTAATCACGTTCACCTGTTCCTCACTCCCTTATCACCAGCTGCACTTGATTAGGTTGCTCACTATATTACCCGGTTTCACTCCTCAGTCACTTGCCAGTTCGTTCTCATCTCTAGGCCATTTTTTTCGTTTTTTGTATGTATTTATCCCCTAGCCAGCTACTGTTTTGTGTTCTCCCCATGGACTGTTCCTCCAGATGTTGAACCCACTCTCCCCTCCCAGGCAGGTCAATGCTCAGTCGCCTATCTGTTCCACTATTGCCTTCATCTCTCTGTCTCTACCTTCAGTAGCCACCATCACCACCGACCAGCCCAGGAGTGACCCAGCCTACGCAGCTCGGCCCAGCTCTCCATCTCCTCACCTCCTGCTGTTGGTCAAACACCCGGCTACTACTCATCGACAGGACTACGCACTATTTCCCTCTGTGCATTTTTACTCTCCTCATCACTGTACATATTAAATCACTGCTTGCATCGAAGTCGGCTACCTGGGTCCGCCTCTTTCTCGTTCGCTCACTGACTGGTGCGAATGGCACATAACAGTTTCCTGTAGACACACTGTGATAGGACAGAGTGTTGGGCAGTATTTACTGGAATGTTAAATGAGATACAGTAAGATGTATACAGTCACAGGTTTAAAAGCTGTTCCTTGTCACTAATACAACAATAGCACTATACAGTGACACACACGAATGCCTGAGTATCTGTCAAATCAAACTGGGAACTGATACTGATCAGTTTATGGGAAGTACAACAGAGTCCGTGAAACTGTTGCACTAGAGGGGACTTTATAAAATGTGAGACAATAGAAATGTGAGATTTTATCATGTACAGAGGAACTGACAAACTGATGCCAGCAGTTGTAGTACAGGTAATGTAGGATCTAGTGGTGTTTTGAAGCTTGAGCCATGCTTGGGACGTACAGGAAGGATAGTTTGACCTCTGCTACTTTGAATTGTAATTTAAATCTGTCAGTTTTCCAACTTCAAGGGAGTGCGATACTAAGTTGCTGGAGTACTCTATTAATGAATAGCTGACAAGCACTTCCTGAATAAGTAATGA